ACATCTAATGGAGCAAACCTGGTTTTCATGTTACCTCTTTACTGTCAATTCATATAGAAACCCCCTCGGAAGGTTGGAAAAATTTAATCAGTTGCTGCTCTGGAATTTGTGGAGGACTGAAGGTCATGAACAAGTGGCAGGATATAGCTTCTGCAAGAGAAACTGGCTAAATGAGTTTTAAATTTAAAAATCAATGTCTTAATTTCAGATACTTTGTTATGCCAGCATGTTGGACTCCAGCTGTGCTTTAATACTTCAAATGCCACAGGATCCAGAATGCCTGGTGGTTCCAGAGTTGCAGTGGGCTCTTCAGCTTGCTCACATCACTGCTGGAGGGCAGCAGGCAGCTGGCTCTGAGAAGGGGCACTAACATCCTAGAAAGACATCAGCAGGGAAGTAGACAGCACAAGTATCAGGTGGAGATGCAGAAGGTAGCACTGACTTGACATGTTCCTGGGCCATTCAGTGTGTACAGAGCAGATGCTCCTGTTTTTATGCCCTTTCTATGAAGGAGCTGCCTAATCTTAAACTAAATGAGATCTGTTCCTCTGTTTAAGAGTGGCCTGCTGTGTTTTGACTTGATACAGGATTGAGGTGGGAAGAAATCTTCCCCTTTCTAAAGAAACTGGGTTTAGGAAGCTCCTGAAAACATCTTCCTCTTGGAATCCATCATGCTGCTTAATGTGTGAAAAGGGAAGCAAACAGTGTGTGTTGGGACAGGGTGATCCATTATCATTATTTCCTGGCATATTGATTCTCTGCTTGGACAGGAAAGCTCTGTCACACCGTCAGCCAGTGGTGACTGATGGCCCTGCCACCAACATGTCATGGCACCAGCTCAGACAAATGGCTGGGGGGTAGGGGAGCAGCCAGGCATGGGGTGGCTGCACACCACTGCCATCCCTGAAAGGGGTGGCAGGCAGGCATGGTGATGTTCTTTCCAGGCTTTCATTGTAGAAGGAGGAATGGGAGTAGGGACAGGGCTGGAGAAGATGTGAACATCTCACAAGTACCATGTCTTGCAAGGATGCAAAGGGGGGTTAAACCAGAAACTCATTCTGAGCATCACTTCTTGCAGGAACCTACCATGACAGGGCAAAAAAATGTGTTTGAGGCTTGGACTTATTTTCTTTTCTGCAGTAGCCTTTCTGCAGAGAGATGAAGCTCATGTACAAACACCATTTTTCATTTACAGAGGTGTTTTCTCCGACTCTGTAAAATGATCCTTAAGCTCAGAATGGCTAAATTATCTTCACTGCTTCTCTGCAGCTCTGTTACGTTTCTATCAAAATGCACAAAAATGTATTTCTTAATATCCCCAGACTCCCATATTTCCCAAACTGTACTACTTTGGACATCAGCTCATCCATATTCATCCTTACTTCACCTGCAAGAACCAGAGCAGAACTGCCCTCTCTCTGAATCAGTGTCGGAGTCAAGCAGGAGAGGCAGCAGTAGCTGACTGCAAAGGTTTGCTTTATCTGAGAAGAACATTTGTTCCTCAAATAGTGAGGGAAGTAAAGAGAGTCTGCAGGAGAAGCAGTTGGATGGTTGGAATGAGATTCATCACAAGTTTTCCTTTATGGCATAGCCCCTCTTTTATTTTTTTCCTCAGTCTTACTTAGATCCTTCACTAGAGATGATGCTCAAACATCTAGAGCAGACAAGATGAGACAAGAAGTGGCCTCTGTGCCTTGCTGACTGCCAAACCTGTGGTGTGGGGGCTTGGAGTGGGTTGTACACTGTGGAGAAATCAGGACAAGCAAAACCCTTGATTTATAAAAAATAAAGCTTAAAGCAAATTTTTCATGTTACCAACTAACAATCACTGTGCCATCACTGTTGACCTTGCTTTGTGGCTCTGGGTACTGTTGATCATGGTCTGAGGGCGTTTCATCCCTAGAACACGTTGCTTGTGTCCTCTGTTCTGTGTGGAGAGGAACACATCAAGGTTTTTTTGTGAATCCATGTCTTCCTTCACCACAATCATTGTGGTGAAAGAACAGTGTTGGACAGCTGATGTGACAACAAGAGGTGACATGAAATAGTGTCGTGTGACTGCCTTCAGCCTGCTGTCCTGAGTAGGGGATGTGAGTGGGAGCTTTGTGTGTGCCTGAGGATCCTGTGCTGCCTCTTTTCTGCTCAAAGCTGCCTGTCCATCAGCCTGTCATCTTCTTTTCATTTTGACTTATCATCCAAACCATATCTAGGTTCCAGAGTTTCATTTTTTGGCTCGCCTTCTCTCAGGGACAGAGAGATAAATTTGACAGGCAAGTGTTTTAGCTCACCACTTCCAGGAGGGAGGAATTCTTCTGCCTCAGGGACTCAGAGAAAACAACCATGGGGCAGAGCTTTTGTTGTCCTCTCTGAGGCTGGAATTGTGCAGGGGAGGTATCCAGTTTACCCAGCACCATTTCTCTCAAGGATCTAGCATCTGCAGAGCATCAGTTCTCAGGCAGGGGAAACAGAGCTTGCCTTGTTGGAAGCAAAACTAGTTTGGATCTTAGTATTGGATCCTCACTCCTTGTAATTTTAATAAATTTCTGAAATGCATATTTAATGAAAAACAAATGTATTAAATTCTAGTTGCTTAAGCCAAAGGCCGTCCATCATTTATGGAATCCACAAGAATTCTGTTCCTTCAGTGTTCCCTGACAGAAAAGCACATGTCAGGGCAGAGGAGAGTCTGTGGGAGATGCTTCAAGGATGGGGTTCCTGCCTGAAAGTTCCCCTGATCTGGTCCTGTTGGCACTGGTGCAGAAAGTGGGGCTTTGAGCCAGTGGTGAGAGTGGGCTTGGGGGATGGAAATAGGTCACTCATTACTCTGTTGAGCAGAGCATGAGGAGATTCACTGTCCAGTGTGCAGGGGAAGAGGTGTGAGACTCCTGAGTCACAGCCCACATACAGGAGCAGCTCAGGATGGGGCTGCAGAGCCTGACCACCTCTCCCAGGCAAGAAGGAAAGGAACAGTCTCAGCACATTTCCAGAGCTGTCCAACCTGCTTTGCCTTATTACTCAGGGCATCTTTTCCTCTTCCTTGTAGCCTGTGCAGCCCCAGGGAGTGCAGCCATGTCACATCACCTGGAACACAGCTCTTTCTGGGTCTCTTGCTGAGCAGATACGGCTGGAAAGCATCTCTTCTCCGGGGAGCACTGGGGGAAGCACAACAACTGTACCCCTGTTCACAGTGCTCCTCACCTGCTGGGCTTGAGTGAAGGCAGGGGGAATTGCACACTCCCAGAGCAATGAGTTGCCTTCCATAGCTCTCCGTGACTGCCCTTGGGGGAGGAAATAGAGCCTAGCACTCCCAAAACAACCTGGCCTTGTGGTACCGTGAGGGAATGGATCTGCTGCTGTCAGTGTGGTGTTTGGGAAGGGCTGGTAGATGTGCCCTGTCACTTAAAAACGGTTGGAAGTGAGAGGTTTCCTGAGGTAGGACAGGATGGAATGCAGCATGTGGCTTGGGAAGGGTTCAGCATAGAGCTGGTGTTTGCTGCAGGAGAATGTGAATTTCTGAGAGAGGGTTTTGGAGAGTGCTGGGGGTGTACAGGAGGCAGTGTTCAGTAAGGTTAATCTGATCTTGCTGGGCACAAGAGAAGCAGCATTCACTAATTGGTCTGTAACTATTTTCCCTAGTCCCATCCCTGGCAGGGTTTCCCATCTCCAGCCACATGTTGTGGGGAGCAGGGCTGGGCACAGAGTAAGCCCCATGGTGAGCCTGCCCAGCTCCTAGCACTGGTGCCAGCCTCCTCCTATGAACCTGGACTGTGCACTGCTCTGTTTAATTCCTCTGGATTTATATTAATGACATTGGTAGTTTTCTGTAGTAGTTGTCTCAGCATTTTGTTGATTTTTTCATTACCTGATAATTCATGGCTCTGTTCCTGTGCCTCAGACTGGTGCAAGGACAGCTCTGTGCAAGCCACAGTGGCCCACCCATTGCAGCACCAGACTGTAAATCTCACTGCTTGCTGCCCTGCCAGGCAGGTCCTTTTCTACCCATTACTTGTTAACTCCAGCAGCTGATGATCATCTTTTCCAAGTTGATGCAATTTTTGTGACTCCAGAATTAGTTTTCGGCTGCTTTTATATGCCATGCTAGGAATGAGAGTCTCACAGTAACTGCTCTGGCTCAAATTTCCACCCCCAGAGTAATAAGGGCATTAGCCCAATCTCCTCAATTCATTTTTTCCCTGGCACGTTGTTATTTGTAATAAGCTTTGTAAAATGTTGTTAAGCTTTTTCCTGACAAAAGTAAAGGGTAGATGAGCAGACTTTTTGTCTAGAAACCATGAATTTTAATAGCAGTCTTTCAGTGCTGCTTTAGACCCTTCCAGACTGGCTTCTACACCCTGGGATTAGCTACAGACAGCCTGTTCCTCCTGCTCAGGAAATGGCTGGCTAGTTCTTGCTCTATCATGCTTGACAGATCCCAGGGACAGGAAAGCTCGCTAGTAGCCGCTGCTCCTGTGCACATAGGGGAGGTCTTGAAAACAACAGTCCAGTTGGAAATGTGCAGGAATATTACTGGGGTTGACTGGAGCCAAGTCAGAGCTCAAACATCTCGCAGCCTTTTTGAAATTAAGATTCTTAACCAGTGTGTGTGTGGCAAAACGTCTCACATGGATGTGAGAAGCATCCATGGACCAAAACCCTTGAGGGCTTAGGGTTCACCAGCCGTGTCAGCTTTCTGCTTTCTACGGGCTCAGCACAGCCCTGTGCTCTTGGGGTGGGAGGGTGAGTCCCTGTGGGAAGAAGACTGGAGGGAGATGCCTGAGCCCATTCCCTTATCTGCTGAGTGGCATTGACAGCAAATCATTATTAATTCCTGTGCACCTCACCTTTTATGTAGCACCCTCAGATAAGGTGGTGCATCAAAGAGATAAGGAGATGCTCTCGCATAGCAGGAGAGAGCTGGTGCCAAGACTGACAGTGCAATGGGAGGAGGTCATGGGGAGTGCAGGCCTGGGCTTGACCTGAGACCTTCTCTCTCTTTCCAGCTTTCATCCTCATGATTATTCTGGCCCTCGTCCGCATCAGCAGAGGCCAAGCTGAAGGTCACCCGTCCATGGCCCAGCTGTCGGGCATCCGGAACCTGTTCGGGGTGTGCGTCTATTCCTTCATGTGCCAGCACTCCCTGCCATCCCTCATCACCCCCATTTCCAAGAAGAAGCATGTCAACAAGCTTGTGCTGCTCGATTACATCCTGATCCTGGCATTCTACAGCCTCCTGTCCTTCACTGCCATTTACTGCTTCCGCAACGACACCCTTATGGACATGTACACGCTCAACTTCACCAACTGTGAGATCATCAGCATGGCCTTCATTCGGTACTTCCTGGGCCTCTTCCCTGTCTTCACCATCAGCACCAACTTCCCCATCATCGCAGTGACCCTGCGCAACAACTGGAAGACCCTTTTCCACAGAGAAGGGGGCACCTACCCGTGGGTGGTGGATAGGATTGTCTTTCCTGCCATCACGCTGATTCCCCCAGTGCTGGTGGCTTTCTGCACCCACGATCTGGAGTCCTTGGTGGGGATCACGGGAGCCTATGCTGGGAATGGGATCCAGTATCTCATCCCAGCTTTCCTCGCGTACTGCAGTCGGAAAGACACTCAGCTGGTCTTCGGCACTGGGACTGTGAACAAACACCTCTCCCCTTTCCGGCACAGCTTCTGGATTGTGTTCGTGCTCATTTGGGGTTTCTCTTGCTTCGTGTTTGTGACTGCAAACATTGTCTTGAGTGAATCAAAGCTCTGATGAGGGTTAGCAGCGCACTCCCTCTGGAGCTCCAGAGACTCCAGCATTTCCAGTCCCCCTCTAGAACTGTGCAGTGAGGGGGAGAGGCAGTATGAAGGGAAGTTTCCAGACTGTTGGCATGATGACACAGACTTTCTTCACTCCACTTTGGGTGTGGATGGAGTGGACTCAGCCTTGTTACAGTTCTGGTTCTCAGACAAAGCCTTGGCAGCCTGCACCGTTTACCAGTGTCCAGCCATTCCTGCCTTTGGCTCTGTCAGAGCAGCACTTTCTCTGTCTGTCCCTCTGTGGGTCTCTGTGTGCTGCAGGTCTCAGCACAGGAGAGACAACCTTGGCTGTGTCACTAAATGTCAATTCTCCCAAAGGCAGGAAGGAATGTGCTGTGCAGGATCCAGCAGGAGTTTGGGATAACTGAGTCTCTTCTTTCTACTGAGACTCCTTCAGACCAACCTCCTGCGCCAACTGAAGGAAAACATAAGGGTGAAATAGACCTAATTCAGAAGGAAATCATTTTGTGCTGTTACATTTTCTTTTTCTAGAAGCATTATCATGTTCGTGCACATTGCCTGGGATTGGGGATCTTTTGCTTAGAGCTGGATTTCTCCAGCCTGGAAGTTTACATTCACACTTCCATCCTGTTTTGTGCTATGGCAGCTCAGTTGGGCAGAGCAATGCCCCTCTGCATGCAGGAATACAGCTGTTCCCACTGGAAAGAAAATCAGCCTTGCTTCCCTCAGCACCGGCACATGACTCGATGCTTTTCACCGGCAGAGCCCTTCTCCCTTTCTCAGCTTTGCCCGGGGCTGGTACGAGCAGGCAGGCCCTGAGTACAGCGGCCGGGATCTGTGTGGGCTGGGGAGGTGCTAATTACCCAGTCCTGACACGCGAGAGGCTCCGGCTGTGCACACTGATGCGTTCCCGGCTCCCGTTGGGTAATTAGCCTTGAAACAAGGTGGGTGTTAACTCAGGGGAATGAGCCGGTGCCAGGAGGAAGCGGCTGTGCCCTGGCTCAGCCCTGCCTGCAGCAGCAGAGCTCCCGAAAGAAGGAGTAAACCCTGAAACCCTGCTGGAGCTGGGCTCGAATTCCCTCTCTTGTCTTTCTGCACAGGGTTAAGGTGGGCTTGGGGCTGCTCCTGCTCTGCTTCTTTCATAAATGGGCTGCCCCTACCTTAGGCAGCTCTAGGAGAGTCTCTGCTTTTAGGATGACTGGTCACTGTAACACCACGTTTTGTCACCGGCTCCTGTGTTCAGAAGCCTTGGGGCACAGATCATACGGGTTTTCCTTACAGAAGGAAGAACTTTAAAAGTTTTCACCTGAGCTATTTTAAACTGTCTGTTATCAGAGTAGGTTCAAAGCCAGGTGCATGTCAGATCCTCCTGCCCTCTGCGCTTGCTGCAGTATTAAATGTCATTGCTCACTAAAGCAAGCTTTGAACTGCAGCTCTTTTTAATCAAGCTCTGTTTTCAAGTAGGACTTTCTGGTTTCCATATGACCTGAAGTGCTCCTCCTGGGGGAATATGCAAGTACCTGGAGCTGTATAAAACCACTTCATGGCTTTTAAAGCAAAACCCTGCACCTCTCAAGCCTGAGCACTGCCACTGTGTCCTTGCTGAGCTGCCTGGAGAGAATCTGGAGAGACTGTTCATCTTCTCTCCAGCTTGATCTTAAACAGACATTGGCAGCCCCTGCCAGTGAGTTTAAACTTCCAAGTGCTCCTGAGAATCTGATGTGGCATCTTCAGTACCAAATTAAGAAGGTATTTTACAGGTATCTGGTGCTGGTGTCTTGTTCAGGAAGCAGTAGTTTGGAGGGCAGATTCATGGGGCAGCTGAGCTGGGAGCCCCCTGCGTGGGAGCTGGACAGAGCTGGAGGGAGAACTCAATGCTGATGAAATGAGCCTTTGGAAACTGGAGAGGATGAGGGGTCTGTTCCTCTGCACACGTGTGGGTTAATGGAGAGGCAGAGAGCTGTCTGCCCTGAGCTGCCCATGCATTGCAAGGCCCTTGGCTCAGCCCCTGCCCTCCACATGCCCATTTCAGTCTCTTGCCTTCACATTTCATTGCAGCCAAGCAACAGGGTTCTCTGTTATTTTATCTCCTTTCACTCTCCCTTCCCTTCTCAGGAGGGAGGGAGTCCAGCCTGGCACCCTCTTTCCTGCCATCTCTTATATTTAAAGATGTGCCTTTTCTTCCCTGGCCGTGTGTCCCTCTCTCCTCCTCAACAATATGGGACAGTGACTTCTGAGGGGCTGCACCTTCCAGTGCTGCTTGGATCCAGGTTTTGGATGCAATGGGGTGCTGAGGGCTTGTGTTCCAGCCCCAGCCTTTGCTGTGGTAGCTTACTGGGAAGGACTGTGCTCCCCAAGAAGCATAAGTGCTTCTCAAATAAATAACCATGAATTCCTAGACACCTGCTCTCCTTGCACAGCAGCAAAACAAATATATCCGAGGAATTGGGGTGATTAACAGAAAGAAGCTCTACAGCAGAGAACATTTTTCATATAAAACATGACATAGCAATGCCTTAAAAATTACTGGAGAAAGCAGGAAGGGGATGGTTCAGTGCAGCCAGCACTGGCTGGGGGGGATGCTGGGTGACCCCATGGTGCAGGGCATAAGCTCTCCTCTCATTCATCATGAATAAGTCTATTTTTATTTGGCCATTATCAGCACTAACAATTCATTATTGCAGATTCGCACATGATACTTTGTCCTAACTGTAATTAGTTTTTTTAAAAATGGGATTAAAACCAATGAAATGCACATTATACATCTGGTTTAGTCTGACTTCTTTTTCCATCCTTTTCTTCCTCGTGCTTAAGCATGGAGCAACTATTCCTGGAGGGAATGGCTGTGATGGATGGGGCTGCAGGCCAAGGAGAAATGGCAAGTGGAGAGGCTAATGGAGACCCTCGCCTCTTCTCTATTAGCCTCCTGCAACTCTGGATGCTAGCTGCAAACTCAATGAAAACATCTGTACTTTCCCCTTCTCAATTACGGCTCCTTACACTTAAAGCCAAACAAATTGAATTGCTCTGCTGCCTCAGGCTGCAAAGGCAGTTTCTGCCAGCAAATTTATTATCACTATAAAGCGCAGCTTGATTTATGTTAAAATATTAAAGCAGATCTTTATGATGGAAATAAACACTTTCTGCTGTGATTCTCTCAAAGTACCTCACAAGCAGCAGCAGATTTTGGGGCTTGGGCTGTAAATCTGAGGCCAAACTGGCATCGGGGAGAAATTCAGTCTGTTGCAGCACTTGGAAGAGCAATGGCCAGGGAAAAAAAAACTTTAAACCTGAGAAGAAGCTTTAGGCAAAGCTTCACCACCATCAAGGAGCTGCATGTCCCTGAAGGGATTCAGCTGTTTGAAGGTTTGAGGAATGTGCTCACCAGCCTTTCCCCTGGATGGATTTGGACAGCTCAGGAGCTGTTGGTGGCTCAGGGAAGGACCTGCTGCAGGGTCTCAGCTGGGGAAGGTTTTGTGCCATGGCTTTGCCTTGGCAGGAGGCAGGAACCAGGAGGTGGCTGCACCTGCTGCTCCCTCAGGCATCCTTGGGCATGTCAACTGTCCCCAGAGCCTTCTTGGCCCTGTATATGTCCTGATTTGTGATTTAACCAGTTCCCCCTGCCCTAACCTGAGTCACCATCTCCCCACAGCAACACCAGCATATCCTTGCCCACTGGAACCCCTTCCCAGTGGCTGACCTGTGCTGGCCTGCTTTGTTCCCCATCTCCTCATCAGGATGGGTCTTACAATGCTGAGCAATGGGGCAGTGAAAACAGGACGTGCTGTGGAGATATCAGAGCTGGCAGAGGTGGGAGGTGGGTCTGGGGGGACACTGCCTGCCCCCAGCAGTGGGGCTGAGCCACAGAGGTGGATGCCCAGCAGTGGTCCAACTTTATTTCTCTCTGCTTAGCAGCACACCGCCTCCCAGGGTGTCCCAGGTGCCAGAGCAGGCTGAATTAAAAAGTGATTGATTAGACAATTTCACCAAAAAGAAATAATATCCCTCAATGTCTGTTAAACACCAGCCCCTCTTTGGAAAGCCTAGCCAGAGGGTGCTTCCAGACTGCTGCTTCCCAGAAGGTTTGTCCCTGGTGTACCCACAAGCAGAGAAATGCTGCAGAAGCAGCTCAGTCCTTCCTTGGTCCTTGAGGGTCACAGATCCCAGTCCCTGGACTGGTCATACCTCCTTTCCCACCAGTGCCTAGTGCCTAGCACCAGGAAAAGGAGAAAAACTGTGTTTTTCCATCCTAACTGGCATGTAAAGATGGTTATGCAAATGATGGTCAGGGACCTGGGCATTCACATGGGGCACCCAGAATAGCCCTGGCCACACACTGGGTGCTGACACCCAACCCTGGAGTCACTTCCCCTGGGAGCACCCCCTACACCCATTTGCCCTGTCCCTTGATGTCCTCAGCCTCCTGCAGCAAAGCCCTTCTATAAAACATGAAGCAGCTCCATTTGGCCTCTGCTGAGTCACCAGGGACATCACTAATTAATTTAAAACGTGGGTTGGGGATTTTTGATACTTATTTTTTTCCCTTTTCTGCTCCCCTTTGCTGTCACAGCCCCAGCCTCAGCTCAGGTTTGACTGCCTCTGTGTGTGCTGGCTTCCTCGAGCCAGAGAGCCACAATTTCAGGGAAGGTTCCCAGGGCCACACTGAATATTCCTGGGGACCAGCCTGTCACTCCAGGGGCATCTGAGGCACTCAGCTGGGAAGAGCTGCCCCAGATGAATGGGTGCCATCACCTGTGGCAGCCTGGATCAGTACCCTCCTTTTCAACCGGATTTATTTATATATGAGTTTTATTTATGGACCAGCACCTCCCACCCTCACCAGGAGGCTTGGAGGGGCTGCCAAAGACATTACGAGACAATTGCTATGATAAATAAGTAAAGGGAATTAAAGCGCCGCCACCAGTGTGTGTGATGGCAGCCAGGCTGGGGGATGGGGCAACTGGCTGGATTTAACCCCAGACAGATGGGTGGATTGATGGGCAGATGGATGGACAGTGAGATATTGCCAATGCTTTGGAGCCTGGACCACACGTGGCCGGGCCCTTCTGGACCACCCTGGGGTTTTGCAGCCATCCCTGGGGCAGGGCTGGGTGTCCTGGAGCAGTCCCTGCCATCATCCCCTCGCTGTTACCGGCCCCAGCTGCTTGGTGGCTGCCATTAACCCCCAACAACTGCGTTTTAATAGGGGGGAGAAAAAATAAATAAGAAAAGAGCTCTAGAGCAGCTTCCCGGGGAGATGTTCACGGAGGAAGGTGATGCCAAGCCAGCTGGGAGAGGATTGGCATTTCCCTGGGACAGTCTGCCAGTCGGTCACGGGCAGCTCTGTGTAGTCCTGATGGTTCTGCTCTGGGATGGGGCTGGAACTTCCCGGCAAAGCCCTGGCTGCAGCCCGGGGCCCCGGAGCCTCAATTCCCATTTCCCAAAGGCCCTCTCCCCTGCCCGAGGCTGCTGTGAGTCACGGCCGCCTCTACTCCTCCC